ATTGGCATGGGCGGATCCAGCTTCTTTTTTCAGGGTGGGCAAAAAAATTTTTTTTGGTGGGGGATGGGCAAAGATGGTTAAGATTGATAAAATTAGGGCAAAATAATTTTTTGAGAGGGGGCAAAATACCCAAAATATACAAAATATTTTAAAATCCTCTCTAAAACTTAAAAAAATAGGGTGGGCATTTGCCCCCCCTCACCACCATGGGGATCCGCCCATGGATATTGGGCTCATTGGATTGTTCTCGTCAAGATGCTTGGATTGATTATAAGCTTGCAAATATATATATATATATATATATATAAGGTATAAGAAATTTTAAGGGGCTGGTTGATTGGAGGAAAAAGAAATGTAATGTAAAAGAAATGTATTATTATTTTACTTTTTGTGTTTGGTTGGATAGAGTGTAAAGTAAAATCATAGTGTATTAAGAACTCCCTGTTTTAACTTATTTTCCATGTAAAGTAAAACCGCCTAATTTCAAGCGAAAAAGGAATTCACATGGGCTAGCCATAGTTTCTTCTTCCATTGTCATGGGAACCCACATCGTTCATTTCTTCCTTTGTCGTGCCTGTTAGACCTAGCTAGGTGCTTCGCGTGGGTAGAGTTTTGCATGACTAGCTTCTTCAGCTCCTCTGTTTCTATTTGGCTTCACTCCGACGACGTTTCCTTTCTGTCAAATCGTAAGGCACGGAAGCAATTACAGATGCTCGATCGCTTTGAAGGTAACTATATTTCATCATTTCACGCGCTTCTTCAACCAAACCCCTGAAATTGCTGTTCAAATTAACTATTCCAATGTGAAGCTCCCTTCACGCAAGTCAGGTCCTAATGAAAGGGCCTGCCTCCTGACTCCCTCCCCGATTCGAATGTTCCTGCCTACATGAGTTCCGATTGGGATGGCCTGCTACTCGATTATTGAAGCTTCTAATGGTTGATTGCAAAATGCAAGCTTCAGGTGCTAATTAAGAATGCATTGAATCCATGTTGGATGGAGATGTTGATCTCGACCTGGAGCTGGACGAAGTGCAGGATTATATGCAAGAATAGTCCATTGAATCAAGTTGTGGTGAAAAAGAAATCGGTCAAAACTATGTGAATTTATACAACAACAAGCCTTTATCCCACTATGTGAGGTTGGTTATCCCACTATGTGAGGTTGGCTACATGAATTTTTTTCTCCATTGTGTTTTCCTAAGAGTCAAATTCTCATATAAATCTAATAAAGAAAAGTCATTTCTAATATTTTCTAACCAAGTCTTTTTAGGTCTACCTCAACCTTTTTTTAACATTAGTCAAATTTAAAACATATACTTTCCTAATCGGGTCATTTAAAGGCAGTCGTTTTATGTGACCAAATCATCTAAGGTGACTCTCTATAATCTTTTCTTCCACTGGAGCTACTCCAACCTTTTCACGTATATGCTCATTTCATATCCTATCTCTAAGAGTAAAGCCACTATTCCACCTGAGCATCCTCATCTCTACAACACTTAATATTATCCTTCTCTTTTAATGGCCAAAATTCTGCATCATAAACATTACAGGTCGCACTACCATCCTATAAAATTTTCTCTTAAATTTGAGAGAGATTTTTATCACACAAAAAGGTGGACAAAATTTTCTATCACCACAAACTAGGTGAATTCATAATACATTAAAAATGTGTTGCGTAGTAAAAAAGAAATAACTAAAAATTTTTACATAACATTTTATTTTCAACAAACTAAACATCTAAAATTTAATTTCCCCTACATTTAGAATACTTCGCATTTTGTTTTCAACAAATCAAAAGCCCCATAAAACTAAGAATTTAATAAAAATCAGAGCAAACTTATAAGCAAGCTTAGCTCAACACAAGCAATTCATGATCAGATTTTTTTTTTTTTTTGGAAAAATTAGGAGCAGAGCCCAAACACACACACAATACATACACGAGACTCGAATCCTAGACCTCTTAATTGGGGGTCAAACTACCAACCAAACAACCCAGAAGCTCAACTCATGATCAGATTGAATGACTTCGAGTAAATCTTTGAACAAATATCAATTGGATTGTTATCATCCTCTTAACTAATTTCACAATCTTCTACCAGAATTATTCATTCTATTTTTCTTCAGAAAATTAGGATAATTGTAACAAAAAAAATTTACTGATAATTAGAACAAATATCGTTGGCTTTGATCTTGCATCTTTGCTAAACGTCTTACGGCCTCCATTATTTCAATTAGATAGGGAGCACCATATCTATATCGAGAGATATTTATATGGATAGGTACATCCAACAAGTAGCAAGGAAAATAGATTAATAGTACACTATTCAATCTTTAGCTAAAAATTTTAATATATTGTCACACTAAGTTCAATAAATAAATTAAAGGCAAAGCTTTTGCTTTCTTACTTTTTATCTATCTCTTTTATATAATACATCAATATCTTTTTTAAAATCATGAGGGAGCCATCATAATATTTTTTTTTATAAAAAGTATCTTAAATTCTAAGTTTTATATTTTAATATGCTTTTTTTAGCTCAAGCTTTTTTGTTTCGTCAAATTATTTTCATGTGCTTGGGATGCATATTATCAATCTTTTATCAATGATTTCTAGAAAAAAAATAGAAACCAAGAGTGCTTTTAAAAGATTTTTTTTTTTTCATGCCGATTTTGATGGTTTGAACTTCAATTATAAGAGTTGGTAATAAAGAAGCCACATAATTTATTTTACACACCAGCCACTAAAATTTATAGACTTATATATTGTTAAATGAGCGATGATGCGACCCTCTAAAGCGGACGAGAGAAGAGAGGCTGATGAGGTAGCATTTGAAGATAAAGATGTATGCATTTTTATTTTATAGCTAACATTCATAGTACAATAATGGGAAGAGTTCGTTATTAAAAAAAAAAATTACATGTGCAAAAAAAAGTATGCCTTGGTCTAGTATTTGTTATCAACGAACAAGAAATAGAGGAAAGGGCGGTTGGAGGAATAATCTACAAATAAGAGGTTGTGTTGAGGTGAAAAATAATATGTAGGCCATAGATGACCAACTTTTGCAATGTTAGAGGATATGATCCATCTGGTAAAACTAGAGGTAGTTAAGCAGCTGGTGACAATCATGGAATGATTAATGACTAGCTAATTGTTGGTGCCAGGAGTCATAAAGATGAGGCAAAGATTCTTTGTGAAATTTTAAAATATATTATTGATGCATTGATTGTTTGTACTAATAGTGGTCTTTTAGTATCTCCAGAATTGTTGGATTGACATTTGTGCATGATGTCAATGTCATTATCTCAACTTCAATAATAATCATATAGTTAGCTATCTTAATCATTGATAACACTATTGATAATTATTTTGGTTGTACTTTTGAAACATATGTTCCCTACACCGCATTTATTCTCTTTAGATCAAGTTGAGAAATATCTTTTGCACTCACATATATGATCCTTGTATTTTGTCATCACTTAATAAAAACATCCCAAAATTTATAATCACTAGATGGTGCTCTATCATTGACTTGATCTTATTTATCTAGATTATCTCATATATCCCTAAATCACTTAGTCTCTAGCACTTACACGACAGTTGTTTGTCATTATCACTTAACTTAGTGCCTACCAAACTTTAAAACTCTTCTATTGATTGATTAAATTAGATCTTGCTCTAGTTACTTGACCTTTTATTATCTTGACTAATCTTGATTTGTCTAAGATCAAATTATGCCTCAAACTAGGACAATAACATGAACAACACACACTCTATTTAATCAACTTATGGCCCTTTAGTAGGTTGGACTCAAAACCTCACCCCATGATTGGACCTATGATTTGATCAGTCAACTCCTACCACTTAGCACATACAATGGAGGCTAACCATATCTATAATGGCTCAAAACCCACACTAAGATATATATATATATATATATATATATTATAGTACTGATTATTTTGAAGACTTTGACTTGTTGATTTCAAAATTTTATCTAGTAAAATGTAGCTTTTTGTATTTTGTACAATTTGAATAGGAATTGTGATTTCTGCATTTCTGTATTTTAATCAGATTTAATTGTTAATGAATTTGGATTCATGCCAAGCATGTCTATTATGAAAGTTATACATTTATTGAGAGGTTTGATCGAAAAGTATAGAGAGAATAAGGAGGATCTACATATGATATTTATTGATTTATAGAAAGCATATGATAAAGTTCTAAGAGAAGTGCTATGGAGAGTTCTAGAAAAGAAATGGGTTAATAATGTTTATATTCAAGTAATTAAGGATATGTATGCATGAGTTGTTACTTATGTTTAAACATAAGGTGGTTTGACAAAGTATTTTCTTATTATGTTGGA